GTGACAGTTATGTCACTTCAGTGGACAGTGACAGTGAGCAGCAGCAGCAGCAAAGGGTTGTCTAACGACTCTATTTCAATTAACGGTAATTAAATTAAAACTAATTATTAAATTTTGTTTGAATAAATATTCACAGAGTGGTTCTTTCCCCACAACAAAATGTTGGAGCCGTAAATGGACCAATGAATGAGCAAATGAATGCTGCCCAGAAGTAAGTGTTTTCCTAAACAAAAAACCGTTTTTTGATTATACAAGAAATTAATAACAATGGTCATTTCGTCTTTAGCAACAACAACTCAAACATGCCGCCGCCGCAGCTGCCAGAAAGCTCAGACGCCCAAACTAGGTAAATGCCACCACTATTCTTATTAGCAAGCTAGTACTGTACACTTTTAGCAAAAATTGTCACGGAATCTTTTCCGTGAAGTGAGAGAGAGATGAAAAAGGGAGAGATGAGCACGGGCGCTGGTGTTGGTCCGGTGGAGAGAGAGAGAGAGACGCAGGCGCGTACGATGGTCGAAAGATTTAATCGATTGAAGAAGAAGAAGTGGTGAGGCCTCTCTGGGCGAATGGGCGCAGGGTTCGGGACAGTCCAAAGACAGGAGGGCTCGGGCGCGGCACGGCAAAGAGGCCGGCGATGATGATGGGCGCGCACTGGGCAGCCGGTCCGCTGAGCGACTGCTATGAGAGAGACGGTGTTTGAGCGACTGACTCTACGGCACCCACTGACTGAACCTCAGACCGTCTGGGCGCCGCAGGCTTATATGCCTTCTTGCGACGGTGGGGCACATGGTAGCGGTGAGACGCTGTAAGGGATTGCCCTGCTCACGTTCGCTCATCGTCCGATGGCTCACGTCGGGCGAGGTGCTCAGCGGCCTGGCGATAAGCCGGCCAGCGTACGCTCCTCGCGCTGGAGCCTTCTCGAACGGCCTCGTCAGAGGCCATGGTCACATCAGGGGAAATCTCCTTGACAAAAATAAAAAAATTCTAGCACTTTAGTAACCAAAAGAACTAGTTAACCAGTCCTAGTAAACCGTTTGACACCGTTCTAAACAAATCGAAAATCTAGAACTGTTCAAGCGATTCGCTTGCGACGGACTAGTAAAAGTGGATGCTATACCATTGTTTCACCCCACTAGCTTCGTTTCCGATGCTGTCGTCACTCCGGNCCGGAAATTCAGGATGGCGCCGGCCAACCGGCGCCAGAAGCAGGAGCTGGGGCGACGCCTACTCCCGCAATCATTTCTGGCGAGAATACTGGAAACAACAACGGAAAACGCGCCATAAAAAGCAACTCTAAATTCAAAGATTATCAAATTGACCAAATTAATAACAAAAGGCAAAGACGACAAACACGAAGCGACAGTCCCAGTCCATCATCCACTCGGTAAATGGCGCCACTTTTTTTTGGTTTATTTGTTCTTGCCAAGCTTTTCTTTTTAATATGCTGTATAAAAAAGTTGTTCTAATCCTTTTCCTTTTTCCCTTTTGTTGTTGTCCAGAAGGCAGACAAGAAGCAGTGTGCCACTGGCCGAAACAAGTGGACATAACTTTCCTGCCTCTACGTCCTCCTCCTCCTCCTCCTCCTCCTCCTCGTCACACATTATCAGTCAATCAGCAGGAAATAATGAAATCCAACAAAGGTTTATCTGCTCTGGTTGCGGTGAAGTGGCCAAAACTAAAGGTTACCACCAAAGTGTGGCACACTTGAACTCTCAAGTTCATCGAAACGCTGTGGAAGCGGTTCAAAACGCTGGTCCAACAGCAGGCGACGCTGGTGAAAACACCTCTCTTCAAGCTCATAATGCACTGTAAGTGTGTGCTTACTGACACTACTAACATACCAGCAAATTAATGTTTCTTTGAGCTTTAACATACATACAAACTAAAAAAACTTTTTATACTTCTTTTTTGTTTGTTCAGACCTTCTACTGATGCATCCCAGCAAAGCAGCCCAGCTCCAAACTCCACCGCTGCTGCTGATAATCATCCTTTTGCTTCCCCGGCCTTGTCAAGCGAAACAAATCATCAGATCGTAACAAAAGAAAAAGAAAGAAACAAATATTTCTGCTCCATTTGCGGTAAAGGATCCAACAATAAACAATACTTCACATGGAGACAACATCTACATACCGAAAGACACAGATTTGCTGTAGCTGCGGCTGAGAGGACAAAAGCCGCCGTCGCCACGGCCGTCGCCGCAGCAGCTCAACACTCCACGCAGAACCAGGTCCCAGTCACCGACACTAGCTCCACCAACAGCAGAAATGAGCACACCTCGTAAGCATCGTCCTTTTTTGCTTTTAAAAAAACGAGAACTACTTTCTACGCACTCGGTCTAATATTTGTTCTCTCTTTTGTTACAACATTTTCAGAGGATCAGCTATCAGTGGCCTACAAGAAACTGGAACAAACGAATCACCATCACCATCACCATCATCATCATTGTCAACGGTTGTTCCTCATGCTGTTGCTGCTGCTGCTGCTGATGCTGATGCTGCTGCAACTCTTGCACCCAGCTCTGAAGCAGTTAGTGATTTCTCAACATTTCCACGAACACCGGCAACAAAAACAATTCCCCGCAAAAACGCAGAAAACGTTTCCGTTGACAGAGCACCATCTTCTTCAGAGCTTGCTCCTCCGGCAGTGGGACGGTAAGTGTATCCTAAAAAACTAAGCAGTTTTGCATTGAATATACGTTTGCTTGATTAGAAATACAAATTAACTACATGTTTTACCCTATTCAGTCCTTCGGATGCTGTTAACGAAGTCACCAGTTTAAATTCTTCTCTAAACAGAGGTGAAAACCATGCACCTTCAAGTGCCAACGTGAATGCCAGTTTGGCAAACATTGAACAAACCTCGTAAGCATTCATCTTTTGTTTTTAATTTGGGTACACTTTTTAAGCTGCACTTTTTCTAATTTTTTTCTCCATTTTTTCATGACCTTTTTCAGAGGATCAGTCAATGTGCCTCAACAAGCAGTCTCATCATCATCACCTGCAGCAGCTGTTCCGGATGCTGCTCCTGCTCCTGCTCCTGCTCCTGTTCCTGCTCCTGATCCTGCTCCTGCTCCTGCTCCTGCTCCTGCTCCTGCTCCTGCTCCTTCTCCTGCTCCTGCTCCTGCTCCTGCTGCTCTTGCTGTTATCGGTGCACCCAATCCTGAATCAATTGTTGATTCAAGGTTTCAAACGCAGGCAACGACTAATGAGCTCTGTGGAAATACTGCGAATAACTCTTCTGTCAACAACAAAGCAGCTTCCGTGGAGCTTCTTACTCCGGCACAGGTGCAGTGGTAAGTGGATATCACACAATACCCAAAAAACTAAACAGTTTTTGCATTGAAAACACTCCGCTGTTTACTTGATTGGAAGTACAGCAGATTAAATATATATGTGTTTATTTCTGTTTCTAACTTGGGTGAAACTTTCTCTAACTGCACTTGGTCTAATATTTGTCTTCTTTTGTTCTAGGACACCTTTCAGAGGATCAACTAGTGTGGCACAGATCGCAGCAAACGAAGAGCCATCATCTGAACCACTTGATTTGTCACTAGTTAAAACACGAATGGCCCCAAATGAGCCTCACCGAAACGCTGGAAACAGAACTAATTCTTTTGCTGACAAAACAGCTTTAGAAAAACTGGCTATGGCATCGTTACAGTAAGTGTAGCACAAAAAAACCAAATACACACAGTTTTGCATTTTTTGTAATTTGATATACAAATTAACTAGGCGTAAATTAAGGAATTCTATGGTCGTAAACAAAAACATCAGCTTTAATTCTTTGAGTAGCAGTAGCAGAAATGCACCGACAGGTGCCCATTTGAGTGCATCCAATTCATCGGTTATTAGACACACCTCGTAAGTATTCATCTCTCTAATTTCAAACCTTGGAAATCCTTTTTTGTTAACACTGCACTCCTTCTAATATTTTTAATTTTTCTTTTTACGACATTTTTAGTCGAGGACCAATCTCTGTGCGACCAGTCGAAACAAGTGGACAATCATCGGTCAAAGTTATTCCTGTTATTCCTGCTACTGCTGCCGCTGCCGTCCCACCACCTGCTAGCCCGCTTGTTTCTGAAATAACTCAACAGGCAATTCAAAACGCAGCTATTGCATATCACAATGAAAACCTAGACAGAGGATCGGAAAAGTAAGTGTGTCTGAAATTAGGAAACACACTTTCAAATGCTTTGCAAAGTGTAACACACACATTTATGTTTTCTTTACTATCTTTTTTTAGTCGTGATTGTGGTCGGGCTCTAGTAGGACGATTCAACCAGCCTGAAGCACCGGGACAAGTTGTCAGAAATACAAACACCGCTTATGATAGAAATCTTTTTCTTGAGTCCAACCGCGGACACTTCAATACGTCCGCTTCAAACTCAGGACGAGAAGTCTCTTCAGTTCAGACTGCTTTACAACATCGTCCTCGTCATTTCCAGCCTGTTAACCAGCAGGCCAACAACAACAACAACAACAACAACTTATTCAACCCCAGAATGCCATCTAACAGAGTGTCGCCCCAGTCCATTAGTTGGGGTAATCAAGGTGTTCGAATGACCAATCAAGGTATTCGAATGACCAATCAAGCAGGACCAACGCCGGGAAAAGGGAGAAAACTTGCCGACAAAAAAGACCATCCTCCTCCTCCTCCTCCTGCCACCACCATCCCTTCAACTCCCACAACT